TGGCTCATACATTTCCAACCTGGTTCCCTCATGCCGCCGCCTGTTTCCGGTGCCGCCTAAAGTGATGAAGCACGGTCGCTTTTCTGGTTGAAATGAAGAGCACAGTCGCCCTGGAGGGAGGGTTTGGTGTCAGACGAGGGGCGGCGGAGGGAGCTGTGAGATGTCACTCAGGTCCAAAGCCCTGCTGATGGCAGCCCCGGGCAGGGGCCCTCGGCCAGCATAAACACTTCTGAATCCGCAGCAGAAGCCAGGGATCTCTTTTTAAAGATGTGGACCCTCAGCAACTTTAAATGTTGTCTCGGTTGGAACGAAATGCCGGGCAAGGCAGAGAGAACACAGCAGGAGTGTCTCTGGGCTCCTGGTTGGCAAATTCTCAGGCGCGTGGCCAGGAGTCCTGATGCACCCAGCGGACTCATCACGTGGGAGGCGCCGACAGCCGGCGTGGCAATTCTTCACACCGAGGATGATTAGAGCCTGAATAGTGACGGTGGGGTGAGCCACACGCCCAGCACACAATAGGCTACCATTACCTAAGGCCCAGCTGGTGGCAGGTGCTTGCATATGTCATCTCTCTAAGCCAGTGGTTCTCAACCTTGGCTGCACATTAGAATCACCTGGGAACTTTTTTAAAATCCTGATTTCTGGGCCTCATCCTCCGGAAATTCTGTTTCTTGGTTACTAATGTTGTGGCCCCACCCCTAACAGAGTGACAACACGTCCTACAGGAGGCGGAGAGCTACAGGAGAGGGCAGGGAACAATTTGTTATGGGGTGGGGCCACAACATTAGTAATAAAGAAACAGAATTTCCGGAGGATGAGGCCCAGAAATCAGGATTTTAAAAAGATTCCCAGGTGATTCTAATGTGCAGCCAAGGTTGAGAACCACTGCAAGTATTAGCCCAGCAACCGGTGTGGAGCAGGTGCTCAATAAATTGCAGCTGCTGTTAATTACTGGTCTCTGTTCCCAGGCACGTGTATTCACTTCCTGCAAGCGAGGTGCAGCCTGGGCAGGAAAACATGGCTTGTGTGATGACTTGGTTAGGAGATCTGAGGCTTTAAGACCTGATTCAGCCGATAACCTGCTGGGTGACTTGCCTAAGTCCCTTCTGCTCTCTGGGCTCCAGTGGTACCATTGATAGAATAAGTGGATGGAATGGGAGAAACTCTGAGATCCCGCCCACTGCTCACATCACATGGGTGATGTTTTCGACTTCCTCCAGGAAGCAAGGGTGCGTGGGCAAGCACTGGACGACCCTGAGACTGGACGGGGCTCCTGCCTGCGGGGGCACTGTACCCGAGAGCTCTGCTGTGTCCACAGCAGAACCTGTCAAGGCAGCGGCACGCCACTGGTGGCAGAAAGGCTTCTACAGCCCCCCTCTGTGACCCACGGGAGGAACCGAGGGCATGTGGATCCCACTCCCACGCGCCCTCTCTTGCCCCTGCTGAGTTGCCGAAACCCACCATCAAGTAATAACTTTGTACACAAAATCCCTTCAGGCTTTTCCTCCCCTGCACCTCCCAGAGATCCCGTCCCCACGCCGAGATGGCCCACGCCCCGAATTACCTACAAACAACAACTGAGCCTGAATCCTCACCTCGGACAGCTCAGGAGCACCTGTGCGGGATTAGTGCTGAGACGATCAGGCTTCTCGCCAGTCCCCTGGGGACGAACCCACGGACCCTGCCTTTGCTACCTGACTGCCCTGGCAACCTCTGGGCCGAGCATCGGTCAACACCACCACCTCTCGCAACCGTGGGCAAGCACTGAGCCTCCTGAACCTTCCTTCCTCATCTGGCCAATGGGCATCTAGTGTCTTTTTCAAAGGTTTAGAGTGAGTTGTCAAAATAAGAGAAATCCTGCAACACTGGTTTGGCATCCAGGGAACACTTAACAACAAGAAAGCTGTTTTTAGGAAGGTTCTTTGTCTTGGTTTACAAAGATTCATTCTAGAACAAACGGTCCAATAGGGTAGCCACTACACAAGTGTGGGCTGTTTACATTTAAAACTATATACGACGTCATATTTCGTTGCTCAGTCACATTTCAGTGCTCCACAGCCACACGTGGCTAGTGGCCACCATACTGCCCAGCGCGGCTATGAGCGTTCACCATCACAGTGTGACCAGGCAGCGCTGGTCTAGAGGATCCATATCGTCTACAGATTTATTGAGCGAGAGGTCAGGTCTCCCTGTGGTTCCACTGATCTCCCCCGCCCACCCCCCACACACCCTGGCCTCACGCATGCTGGACGCTCCGTCTCTGACTTTCTGGGGTAACTTTGCAGCCATTGCCTTTGTGTTTAGCTCCTGCAAGAGGCCACTTGGAGCATCGGGAATCATCCTCACTAGACGTGACCTCACAGGTGGTCTGGTTCACTTGCACCACACCCAGGGCTGCTGGGTAGGGGCCACAGGTGTGCTGCACCATTTCAGGGGATACTCGTAGACATACACTGCTTTCATGGACCCCACCCGCATGTTGTGTCTGAGGAAACTGAAGCTTAGTGAGTTAAATAACTTGCCCAAGTCTCCCCGCTAGTAAGGTGGTGGAACCAGGATCTGAACTCTGACACCAGGCCTAGCATCATCCTGGCTCCCAATGAACCAACCAAGTGGAGGGTTTACTTGTTAATTTGCTCTTGTGGCAGTGGGAGAGCGAACACGCATCTCCCCTACGACAGCCTCCGGCCTCTCCTCCAGGGTCTGAACTCGTTTGGAAGGCCAAGAATTCCTGCTCGTACAAGCTATTGGGTTTAAGATGCTCCCGGCCGTACGTTTCTGCGCGTTTACAGGCAGCAAGAGGGGATCTGAGGTGAATACTAGATTTGGCTCCCAGTCCCCGGGGCTGAGGGCAGAGGAAATTCATTTGCAGTACAAACCAGAAACGTCAATTGTATTAGGAGCCCATTTGGCAGGCGCTCCCTCATTCTTTGAGCCGACAAGCCATACCCTGCTCCTTTGCGTCTAGCCTCTCCGCCTGCTGCCAAACTGAACTGCTTGAGTCGTCTGATACATCTACATTTCCCTCTCCTTTAAGTACAAACTGGCCATGAAAGGTACTTGGCAAGCCCCAGGCAGACTGGGTTTCAGTTTGATAACATGACCGCGGCCAGAATATTATTTGGCTCAGTAGTCGGGGTAACGGTCAGCAACAGTTTTATGTAAGGGAGCGAGAGGGAAGTTGATCGGCCTGCGTGAGGCCGTGGTAATCTCTGGCCTTAGCCTGTGCCAGCCCCGGCTTCTGCTTCCCTGGAAGTCAAGGATGGGAATGACTCGGCACACACATCCCTCAGTGGACACTACCAAGGATCTTCAGGGAGTGCCTACTGAATTCAGTCCGTCCACAGTTGGGGGGACCTGGGTTCTGATTCTGACTCCACTGATCCCCGCTGTGTCACCTTGGGTGGTTGAGTGACTTCTCTGAGTCTCAGTTCTCTGAACTGGAAAATGAGGTGATTGGCCTGGATGTTCCCAGCAGCGCTCTGCCCTGCCCTGTCATTTCCCAAGCCCCTACTAGGTGCCTGGCACTGTCCCCAGTGCTGAAAACATTTCCCAGCCTGGGGTGGGAGGTGGGGCGGGGAGGTGAGGTGGGAGCATAACATGGATTTCAGTGCAGTGTGTCCAGTGCTGTGAAGGAGGACCCTGAGAAGGGCACTGAGCCCAGCAGTGCCAGGGACATCAAGGCAGGGTCCCTGGAGGAGGGGGTCCTGAGCTGAATCGTCAAAGGTGGTTAGTGAGGCAGCTGGAAAGGGTGAGAGATGGCAGAGGGGAGGTCATTCTTACTGGTGATAGAGGAAAGGTCTTGAATGCCACCCTGAGGAGTTAGGGTTGAATCCTGAGGGAAATGGGAGTTGCTGGTTCACCAGCCTTTAAGCAGGGGAGCCGTCATGATCAGATTTATGCTCCAAACAAACCACTCTGGCTGAAACGTGGAGGAACAGTGGAGAGGCCAGGGCACAGGCGCAGGGAGGTAACCAGGGAGCTTCCTGGTGGCCCAGGAAAGAGGTGGTGGTGGCCTACGTTAGGGTGGAGGCACTGGAGATAGAGGAGGACTTAGGATGTCTTGGAGGGAGAATGGGTTGGGCTTGGTAATGGCTTGGCGGAGGGGAGGATGGTGGTTTGGCAGTGCCTGGTATTTGGTGGCCAACAATAAAGACTCGTGAGGACTGGCTGGAGGTGGAACCTGCACTGGGCCCAGGTGGCAGGACACTGGCCTCACCTGGATGAATACCCTTGCACGCCTGGGAGACACGGGGCTTGGGGTTCGGCCCTAACAGGTTGGGTCTATGAAGGTGGAATTCCTTATAGACTTTGGTCTTCTTTGGAGCTAGCTTGGCCTCTCATTTCTTTCCCATTCTTGACTCCCTACCTGTCTTCCTGGGGGGTGTAGGGGAGGTATGTGTAAGGATTAAGGGCAATTAATTCACAGAACTCCAGCAGAGGCCGGCAGGATGTTAGACTTCCTCTCGATTACAAGTGGACTAAATAAAATCCAATCCCTGCCATCTCCTTCTCTTCTTTTTTCTGAAGTTTTCTCAAAACTGCACCTTTAGTCTAAATATGGTTCCCTTTCTCTTTATGTTTGAAGAGTCTTCTGACTTTAAATACTTCAGGGACCAATGTCATGATGATGGTGGCAGACAGTTGGCCAAACAGCCTTGGTCACTCCTATTAGAGTCACTTCCCTTTGATCAAATTCATACGCTGGGATTGCATATATGATTTCCTTCGTCAGGGTTCCAATACTAAAGTATTTTCAGAGCTAAGGATCTCAGAACAAATACAATATGGCATTGCAGGGAAGAAAACAAGGCTCAGAGAGGTTACAAAGGGCATTCGAATCCAATTTCTTAACCTCTGCACTGGTGATGCTGCTACTGCACACACCTGGCATCTGGAGAGAGTCCCCTGGAGGAAGTGGTTCTTGAACTACAGGCTGGTTTTGAGTAAGCAGACAGGAGGTGGACCCGAGTATTGATCTTAAGGTCAAGGAGTCTTACCTGGGCGGAATCACTGTCTTCACACCTGATCCGACACTCGCTGTTGAACTGGAAGCCGTCTGTGCACTGGTAGAGCCCGTGGAACTTCGGTGGAGGCGGGTCACATGTCACAGGAACACAGGCTCCCTCCTGCCAGCTGCCGTCTTGGGTGCACTGAGTCTTGAAGGCACGCCTTCAGGGAAGAGATAAAAGAAGAGGCATCTCAAGGACCAAATCGCTAGAGCCATGATCTACCCAAACTCCCAGGTGTCTCTGAGGCCAGCTACGTTTCCATTCCTGGTTCCCTACCTGTCCTGTGGGCTTGAGAGGGGGCGTGTGTAGGGATTAAGGAAAATTCATCCATAGAACTCCTTTAACAGGAATGAGCTGGAGTTTCAGATTTTGTCACAGATACATATGAACTGAAATAAAATCCAAGCCCGGCTGGGTGGTTTAGTTGCTTGGCACATTGTCCCTTGCACCAAAAGGTCATGGGTTCAATTCCCAGTCAGGGCACATGCCTAGGTTGTGAGTTTGATCCCCATTGGGGCACATATGAGAGGTAACTGATCTATGTTTCTCTCTCTTCACCCCCGCCCCCTCTCAAATCAATGAAAAAAGCATATCCTCTGGTGAGGATTAAAAAAAAATTAAAATTAAAATTAGTTTAAAAAAAGGAAAAGAAAATCCAAGCCTTACTAGTCCCCGTCTTCTCCCTTCCTTCCCGAGCTCTCTGATTGGTGCTGACACTGATGACGTTAAACCCACCATTTATTGAACAATTACTATGTGCCAGACATGTGGCAAGCACTTTACATACACATCCTCATTTATTCTGCCCACCATCCTATGGGGAACTCTTATTATCGCCTTCATCTTCTTGTTGAAAAATAGAGGCCCAGAGAAGGGAAGTCACTTGCATGAAGTCACACAGCCAGTAGGCAGGTATTCACAATGTCCTTCAAGATTCCCTTAACGCAGAAGGGGTTTTGCCTCCAGCAAAGAAAGGAACCCTTGCTTCTAATCAGACAGCAGACTCAGCTCTGCTGCTCCCCAGAACCTGCCCCACTTACTTCTTTGACTTCCGAGAGGTGCCGGGCACATGGTATCCAGGCTTGCACTTGTACTTGCAGAAAGAGCCCACCTTGTGCTTGTTCTCTCGGCACCTGGCTGTCTGCAGGTCTGCATTGGGCACCGGGGGCGGAGCCAGACACATGAGCTCGCACAGGGCCTCCGGGAAGGACCACAGCCCGTCCTCCATGCAGGTCAGGAGGCTGTTGTTGCCTGGAAACAACAGACAGGCAGGGTTAGCCGACGGGGTCTGACAGTCAAGCTAATTCATGGGCTGCCTGGATTTATGCCAACCTGAAGAACCAGAGGGTCTTCCACGTGTAATGCCAGACCCTTACACTTACAACCGGGAACCTTGGGAGATGGAGAGAGCCGCTCAGAAGGAGCCCAGCTTGGGGGGTGACTTATCCGTGTCCACCGTGAATTGAGATTCAAGGCTCCTGACTGCCACTCCTGGACCTTTTTTCTGCACAGGAAAGAGACCTCCCCCCCGTTTTGCTTTGCCAGGTGGACCTCTGAGCCCAGGGTTGGAAGGCTTTGCCTCCTAATAACTGGCAGAGTAAGCTCCTGCCGAGTCTACTGAGGGCTTTGACCCAGTGTGCCACGTGACCTCGAGCTGCGGCTCCGCACCGGGCCCTGCGCCCTGTTCATCCCGCTCCCCTTGTGCCTGGTAGTGACAGCATCGTGGGATCTGAAGGTCTGACTCTCTCCGTCCCCAATGTTCCTGATGTCCTGCCAGAGCAGGCGGGAGAGCAGCACACCCCCCGCAGCCCGTGCCAGCTCTGCCCGCCGTGCTGACGGCCACCCGGAAGCTGGCTGGATGGAGACGTTGCAAATAAAAGTGCAACTGGGGAGTCCAGCATCTCCCTGCCAGGTCGTATATTATCAGCACAGCCTGCCCCAAGCCTCCCCAGGACAATTAGAGATGGACCCAGCACTTGGGTTTCTCAATCACACTCTCCTCCTCTGGGGTATTACTGAACAGTGTTGACAGCAGGGCGGGGAGCACCGAGGCTCTGGGATTTGGAGGTCGGAAGGTCTGATCTGAAGCGGGGAGGGCGGAGTGACAGGGTCTGAGCTGAGGTTACTACGTGCCGACCGCTCTGATGTGTAATCTCCTGTGTTCTTAAGCACTGCTCCTAGTCTGACACTTCCTATTTGGAAACAGAGACTCGGAGAGGGAAGTGACCTAACTAAGTTCTCACAGTTAGTGAAACTGCCCTTCAAAACCAATGTTGTGTCACTACAAGATGGTTATTGTTTTTAATGGGGAGTTGGCCCTATATGCTCAGCAGAGCCCTTATTAGCTATTCTGAGAGGCAAACCCCAATATCCCATCTACAGAGAGAAAACAATTGCTCCTGCCCTTCCTGGTGATGAGAAGATACAATGAAACAACATTTATGAAAAGTGTCCAGAAAATGGTATCAAACTCCTTATTTCCTCCCTCCCTCCCTCCCTTTCCTCCCTCCTAACCCTCTGCCTGCATTAGATCTGAAAGGACTCTGTGAATTGCACAGAAGCTTTCATTTATTCAATAAGCATCTACATAGCGCTCACTATATGCCAGCTACCAACAGAGCAGTGGACACAACTTAAAAAAGAAGCCTCAAACCCTGCCCTCTGGGAGCTTATACTCTCCTTGGATGGGGAGGAACACCGTAAGTTATACCAGAAGTAACTTTTCTGGTGTGATGAAAGCATTGAGTCCTATGAGAGAAAGCAAGCAGGGAGGAGGAAGAGAGAGTCCTGTGCAATTGTATGTAGGCTCCTCTGCTCCCCTCCTTCCTGTCATTGTCAGTGTGAATCATCTGGTGAGCACAGATAATTTAGTGTCTGTAAACCCCAGAGGACCCCACGTCAATAAACTGTGATGCTGCAAAAACAAACCACAGCTTTTTCTACATTAACTAAAAGGCATGAGGGGTATGGAAGGAGGATTCATTGGGCTTCCTGCATTGCCTCTGTGCTTGGGGCAGTGGCGTGGGGTACCCACACATAGCAAACGTTTGGGAGGAAGAGGCGTTATCAAAGATCTGCGGAGAGCACCCTCTCTATATTCCCCAAGGAGGATAAAATATCTGTGAAGAAAGTGTTGGGACTCTTAACAGTATCCCACATCTGCTATGCAAATCAAAATTGTGAAATGGATGGTGTGGTTCCTTTGTGGCCAAGATAACACAAAACTGCAAAATGTTAATCAGAAGAGAAAAAATGCAAACCAGGAATGTGAATTCTGGGACAGGGTAAACAGGCGTTAACTCTGCACCATGGTCAAAGGAAGGAGCCCGCTAAAGCAGGGCCTGGTGATTCAGGACCATGGACATGCCCCCACCCACATCAAACACAGCCCAGGAGAGGCAGACAGGGAGCTGTGCAGCATCGGTGTTTCCATGCTCAGCTGCGGCCGCTCCTGTGCATGTGGCTTTGAAAAAAGTAGGGTATGACACAGGCTGCACATGCCCTGCCTGCATCCCTGGGCCCTGACCTCTCTACTCTGAAGGGTGTTTACTGTACCTGAAACTCTACTATATCTATGCAGAGGCCCTTTCTCATGGGCATGGGTGGGTGTTCTGCCTGCACGCAGGGCAAGTTCACAGTCCTACGGTGTCAAGGACCCTGTAAGTAGCACTCAACCAGGGATGGAGGTGGTGGATTCACAGGCTGGCTTCCAGAGCTGCAGAGCGAATATTCTACCCTCGCTCCTCAGAAGGATGAGCGCTGGCTGCCCACAGCAGTAACTGGCTTTAGAAGAGACCCCTGATGCTACCCTCACTTCCACACCTCCCTTTCTCCTTCCCCTGCCTGAGATCCCTAGGGCAACACTAGCTGAAAAACACTGGGTGAAGGACACTGGGTGAAGACACTGCGTGAAGGACACTGGGTGAAGGACACTGGGTGAAGGACACTGCGTGAAGGGCACTGGGTGAAGGACACTGGGTGAAGGACACTGCGTGAAGGGCACTGGGTGAAGGACACTGGGTGAAGGACACTGCGTGAAGAGCACTGGGTGAAGGACACTGCGTGAAGGACACTGGGTGAAGGACACTGGGTGAAGGACACTGTGTGAAGGACACTGCGTGAAGGACACTGGGTGAAGGACACTGGGTGAAGGACACTGCGTGAAGGACACTGCGTGAAGGACACTGTGTGAAGGACACTGCGTGAAGCCTGGCTTTCCCTGCAGGGGGAAGAGTGCTGATGTCAGAGATTGGCTTCCAAACAGTTCTGTGACCCTGACCTTCCTCTGTTCATCATTTAAAGTCAAGAGGGTAGACATTTGCTTGGCCTATCTACAAATGTGCCTGAGGAAGTTTCAATCTCTAATGAGTATTAAAGTAATTATAAACAGTGTCAAAAGCGATGTGTTTTTATTATTTTACTAGAGGCCTGGTGCACAAAAATTTGTGCACTCGGGGGGGGGGGTCCCTCAGCCCAGCCTGTGCCCTCTCACAGTCTGGGACCCCTCGGGGGATGACCATCTGCTGGCTTAGGCCTGCTCCCCAGGGGATTGGGCCTAAGCTGGCAATCAGACATCCCTCTGGCAGCCCGGCAGCCCTCGGGGGATGTCCACTTGCCAGTGGGGAGCAGACCTAAGCTGCAGTCGGACATCCTTAGCACTGCTGAGGAGGCAGGAGAGGCTCCCACCACCACCGCTGTACTGGCAGCCATCAGCCTGGCTTGTGGCTGAGCAGAGCTCCCCCATGTGGGAGCGCACTGACCACCAGAGGGCAGCTCCTGCATTGAGCGTCTGCCCCCTGTGGTGGTCAGTGTGTGTCATAGTGACCAGTCATTCCCAGTCTTTCTGCTGTTAGGGTCAGTGTGCATATTACCCTTTTATTATATAGGATAGAGGCCTGGTACACAGGTGGGGGCCGGCTGGTTTGCCCTGAAGGGTGTCCCAGATCAGGGTGGGGGTCCCGCTTGGGTGCCTGGCCAGCCTGGGTAAGGGGCTGAGGGCCGTTTTCAGGCTGGCCAGCAACTGAAGCTCCCAGTCTCTCCTTTTTTTCTTTCTTTTTTTTATTCTGGGATTTATTTACCTTCTATAATTGAAACTTTGTTGCCGTCACTGGAACTGAGAGCTGGCTCTGTGGCCACGGCCGGCTGAAAACAGGTATCTGGGGTTTAGCTTCTATAATTGAAACTTTGTTGCTTTCAGAGTTTAGAGCCGGGCCGCGGCAGGCGGGGAATCTTGGTTTCCTCCATCACTGGAGCAAGCAAACCTCCTGCTCGCTTCAGCTGTGTGGTGGTTAATTTGCATATCTTGCTGATTAGCCAATGGGAAGCGTAGTGAAGGTACGGTCAATTACCCTTTTTGTCTTTTATTAGATAGGATTAAAAAGAATATGCAGAAGACCAAATCTCTTTGGAAGTGCCTTTGAGATTAAAATTAACCTAGAGCATATTCAAGGAAGGAGGGCTGGGAGATCCAAGGTCAGGTTCATGGTACATACATGGTGTTGGTACGGCCCACATCCTAAGGGCAGGGAATACACCCTCTTCATTCTTTTATTTCTGGAACATAGCTAGTGCCAAGCACACAGTAGGTCTTCAATCTCCATTTGTTAAGTGCATGAAGTATTATGAATCTACCTGTGACCTTGAACTAGTCAACTAACCTATTTGGCCCTAGACCAGAGCTTCTTTGAATTCTTACCCAGCTCGAACATTTTAGGATGTGAAAGGCCATATACTGGCTACTATATTGTTTTGAGAAAACTGCAGCTAGTGAGGACAAATAAACATGCAGTCGGCTGTGTTAGCCAAAGGCTGGTGCTGGTGGCACTGGGAAGAGATTGTTTTATTTTTCTTGGTAAGAAACAGAAGTCACAGTAGAAGCAGCAGAAGAAGTACAAAGAGCACAGTCGTGGTGTGGACCCATGACACCCTCAACTCTGCTCTCTTCAGAATACTAGGGTGATAAAATTAAACATCTTAGGAAGTGTAGGAAAGTTCCTCTTAAGAGGTGACCTGGATTGTGGGAAGGTGCCAGATGAGAACCATGGGATAAAGCTGAACCCTCCAGAGCCTGGCTATCTGCTTCAGAAAAAGATGGAAGGGTCTTTGCCCGAGAAAGGAGAGAGAAATTGGAATTCCTAGAGGGAGGGAAGCTGTGGCAGGATTCTGAAGGGAGAGGGCAAGGCGTGGATCAAAATGCTGAGAGCAGGCGAGAAGGTTAATGCTGGGCACTGTAGGGCGTGGCCAGTCTCCCTGTCCAACCAACCCAGTCCCGTCAAGGTGCTCGATGGTATCATGGGGTATCTTACAGAAACTGGTGGATAGACCGACTTTTAAATCTGAGGTTAGAGAGGCAAAACTGGGATAGAAAAGGCAACAAGAGCCAGAACAGAAAGCAAGTCTTTTAAAAAGAGTTTTGTAGGATGAGGGCACGCTCACTGTAGACACCCCACTCCATAGTCAGTTTCAAGTATACCCAACCTAGTTGAGTTGAGGTGATGTAAATTATGTTGCAGTTTTAGCCATTCCATAGAGCACTCATGATTTTGATTTTGAAGTTTTGTGTTTTTTTAACTTGAGAATATTTTTCCCCTCATGCATTTCTGTAGGTTCTGTGAGTATGATACTGTCTGTCTAGTGTTAATTGGATAAAGGAAGGACCTTGGCACAGTGATTCTAAGGTGTGGGCTCCTGAGATAGGTGGCACACATCTTGAAGAGGGCTTGGAATCTCAGTGAAAGGCAAGAAAAATTCACCTGGAACATAAGGGGCAAGTGGGTGTGTGGTGCTACCTGTGTCACACAGATTCCCAGGTGCACTTGGCTGCTTGTCCTGGGTGGTAGCTGTGCTTCCCGGGACACTCACCTCCAGGTCCTGGGAGAAGCAAGGAGGGTGGAGCCTGTTGCCCAGCTGTCAGGACTCAGTCCCCCGGGACAGAGAGGAGAGGGGGTAGCCTCTGCACAAGTCCTCACAAGGGTGACTCTTGGAGAAGATGAGTATTTCCCAAGCATGTTCTCCGCTCTGGCATTTTACACCTGCTACCTCTTTCACTCCCCAACCTGGCCCTTTGCTGGGCATTCTTTAGCCTATTTTACAAACGAGGGTATTGAGCTGAGCAATGGGAAACTGCTCACCTAAGATCAAACAATTGGAACAGAACCCCCTAGAATCCTGGTCCATTTAATTCTAAAGCCAATGCTCTCTTTGCTTAAACTATATTGCAGGGAAAGGAACAACAAACGGAGGGAGGGAAGAAAGGGAAGCAAACAAAATAATGGGGGGAAGTTGTTCAGATCAACTCTTTACCCCATGAGACATGAGCAAGCTAAAGAGAGAGATGGCAGGGCCTCTGCCTGGCCTTGCTGCCAGCAGCTCCAAGCAGAGGGTCACCCCTGGAGTTTCAGCACCAGCTGATGCTAAGTGACCATGGGTCCTAGTGGGTCAGTGTGGCCGCTGGGGAGATGCTTCCCTGCATTCTGAAGGGAAGGGCAAAGTCGGGATCCACCACGATCAACACGATGGTCTTTCTGGGGCCTCATGTGCACAGCACAGCCCCTGCCCCTCCCATGTCAGCACAGACGCAACAGCAGGCGGGTCTGAATCCCTTTGATGAAGAATTATCATTAGCCACAATGAGGGGTATAATGATCAATGACCAGCGGTTCTCAACCTGTGGGTCGAGACCCCTTTGGGGGTCGAATGACCCTTTCACAGGGGTCGCCTAAGACCATCGGAAAACACATATATAATTACATATTGTTTTTGTGATTAATCACTATGCTTTAATTATGTTCAATTTGTAACAATGAAATTGGGGGTCACCACAACATGAGGAACTGTATTAAAGGGTCGTGGCATTAGGAAGGTTGAGAACCACTGATCAATGACAATATATGCACCTCCCATCCCCAGGAGCCTCTGATTGACATGTGTGATTTCCCAGCCGGAAGTTAGGAATCTACCCCACATCTGGGCAAATGGGGCCAAGAGAAGGGCTCAGGCAGCCTGAATGACAGAGGTTTACCATTTCTACTGGTCTTGTCACCTTTCTCAGGTCAAATCTTCTTAGTACTCAAAAGAACTGTCTATAGCTTTTTGATTCAAGTCTTCTTGGGTTAAAAATGAGGGGACCTAAGGAATTCATCTTCAAAACGTTCCCTGCTTTTCATTTGGGGCAGTTTAGTGAGAATGCTGTGTCTTTCATTCATGCTTAAATATTTTCTGTGGTGTTACCGTCATCAATTCATCCAGCCATCCACTCAATGTACTTTATGGAGTCTCACTGTGTACAGGCCCTGGGTTCGCTGACAGCAATGTTCAAAGGAATTACACACATGGCCACTGCCTTCCAAGCACTCAAGTCCACTAGTCTTTTGAAGCTAGGTATCCCCTTGAAAATTTGGGGAAACGATTGACCCTCTCTGATCGTCAAAATGCCTGAGACTTAATAGTACACATTATATCTAAGTTTAAGAGAATTTATAGATCTCCCTCCAAGCCCTCATACCCCACAGAAGTCTACTCTCGCACACTCTACAGATGGACCCCAAATGGCCTCTGATAAAGGGGCAATGTTTCCTCCAATAAACCAAGCAAAGGAGAGGGTCCTGGCCCCTCTGAGGACTGGGTACAATGTCAAATCCAACACTCGGCTGGAAGCCAAGAGCATGTATCCTAATAATGCGGCTAACCTGCTCTGTGATTTTGCACAAATTCCTTCCTTCCTCTCGCTGGACTTCAGTTTCCCATCTTCCCAATCATCGGTTATTCCTATGAGCTCGAAGAGCCCTTTTAATCCTAGGATACCCAGCCTCTCACTCCTTCCAAACATGGCCTCTTCTTCAGGTTGCCTGATGATGTCTTATCCAGCCCAGGAGAGGCCAGTAATCGCCTCCTCCTGCACCCGCTCCTCTCCCCAGCCGGTCTTTCCTAAGGGTGGCAGTTGGCTCTGGAGAAAGATGAGACCTGGGCTCCAAGGTGAATCCCGCCATGAATGAGGGGGCCTTGGACAATTTCCTCCTCTGTGACAGTGGGAATAGTACTAATACTGACCTCTTAGGCTTACTGGGCCCTCACCATATCCAGAGCACTAGTCACATCCCTTCCAGATGTTACTCTCTGAATCGTCTTTTCCTCCCTCTTTCCCTTTATTTTTACAAAACTTGCAAGATCTTAGAGGGGATTCCATTGCCATACTTGTCCACACCTTGATTTTCCCTTAACTGCCCAACAGGGATGTTTACATCAGTGCACTTGGTGGAGAGAAATCAGGAGATGGATAAAATCCACCCAAGGCCTGGTGTCTGAGACCCAGGAGGGGAGCCTGGAAGCAGAAGCGGCCACTGGGCTTCCCACCCAGGAAGCAGGGCGAGCCCAGCCAGAGGGCCCTCTGTACCTTTCAACTGCGCTGGGTGGCGACACTGGAAGGAGCATTTGCTGCCAAAGGTGGTGCCCTCGAGGCAGGAGAAGGAGGCAGCATAGACGTGATGTTGGTCTGGGACGCCACAGTCCACGGGCTCACACGCCACCTGCTTGTTCCACTTGCCCTCGGTGCAGGTCACTGTGACACTGGGTCCTGTCTGGAAGGCAGAGGTGAACACAGTGAGTGGTGGCAGAGGGCGTCCCAGGTATGGGGACACACCCTTCTCCCAGGCAACAGCTCAGAGCCTTGTCAATCACCCCATGTTTACTGAGCATCTACTATGTGGCAGCACCGTTTTAAATGCTGGAGATCCAGCAGGGAGCATATTTAGCACCCAGTCAGCCTTTCCAGGTGGAGAGGAGCTGCGGGCCCAGCACCTGCACACACCTGGCTCTTGATCAGCTCGTCATCCCTCCGTATCTGGAGCACATAGCCCGTCCGGCAGCTCACAGTGCACTGGGCACCATGATAGCGGTCGCTGCTGGAGCAGTTGAGAGAGGCGTTCTCCACGGCCAGCTCCGGACAGTCAGTGGCCTCACATGCAAAGTGCACACAGCTGCAGAGGGAAGAAACCAGAAGGTCAGAGGGAGCTTCCCTGCAGGACCTGGGCACTGCAGCTGCAAGATAAAGGCCCATGGCCTCCCTCTCTAAAATGTCAGGAGGCCGAGCCTAGGGAGAGGAGGAGGAGATGGAGGGGAGGAAGGAGCTGGCCTAGGTGAGGAAGACTCTGGAGGCAGTGGTCACGTATGGAAACAGACAAACCAGGGTTCAAATCTTTGAGAGCTTTATAAGTTATTATGCTTCCAACCTTGCAAAGCCTCAGTTTTCCCATCTATAAAATGGGGATCATTCCAGTATAGCAAGTATTCGCTGTGTTTCTTATCTGCCAGACACCGAGTTGGATGGAAGCCTCTTTATGTCTTATGGTAGTACTGACTCCCAAGGTCGTTGTGAGAATTAGATTCCATGGTTCCGGGAAAGCACAGAGCAGAATTCCTGGCACCAAAAGCACTCAATAAATGGTAGCTAATGATAGCAGTACATCTGTGCTCTGTTCCCTAGAAGCTGCGTACCTTTGAGCAAGGTACATCACCGTTCTGATGTGCCTCCAGTGTATTCTCAGATTCGGCCAACCCACATGGCCATGAGACTCCACTGAGGTGTTGGACGGAGCAGCCCTTTATAACTGTACAGTGATTTATGAATTGTTGGGAAAGCTGTCCGGAGGTCATGCCTCGTGTCTTTTGCTGCTGCTGTTGCAACCTTCCTGCCAATTCCCATTCCCCCATTCCTCAGGTCCCCGGTACGTGCATTTCCATAGGACACTTCACCTGTGTCCCAGGTGAGCTCCATGCAGGCATCCTGCTCCTTTCTCTAACCCCGCGGCGCCTGCCTCAGGCGCTGACAGCATAGGCCCTGGGCGCCCAGCAGTGTGGAACATGTGCTCATCCTTAAGGATGCAGACAGGAATGATGTGACATCCCTGCGCCTGGTGACCTTTCCCCTCCTGCTACAGCCCCGACAGGCAGGAACAGGAATGCCTAGACCCTGATTGCTCACATACGTGAGCTCACTCCATCCTCACAACACCCCCATGAGCTCAGTGTTATTCATTTCACAGTCAGAAAAACCGGGGACCAGTGAGATTCAGTTACTTCAGTTCCTGCCCAGATGTGTGGCCCCAAAGTCCTCGTGGGTAACGTCTCCCCACACCTGGACTAGAACTGCCCTGAGGGTAGAGATAACGCCTGTTTCATCTGGGTGCACTTCACATTGGCAAGAAAAATGCCTCGCATGTGGCAGACATTCCCTAACTAGGGAGAAGTGAGTGGCAGCAGTGTCTTCCTATAGCTGCTAAGCATTTATTTCTTGGAGGTTGACATGATTCCTAGCAGCGAAAGCTTCTTGGGGCACTTCTCTCCCACCTTTGCCTCTCTGACCATCTGCCCCAGAGCCTGGCAGGCACGCTGTGCACAGAGAGCGAGATTTGTATCCAGAGCCTCAGGCCGTTTATTTTCCTGTTTTTATCCAGGAGACAGTAGGCAATTGGTGGTCGAACCAGCTTAAGAGGAAATCCCGGATGCCTGTCCTTTTTGCCCGTCTCAGACCACACTCCTGAGGCTTTTACAGCACATGACTATCACCACCACACTCCCTCCCCTGCCCAGAAGGGTGGTGAGAAAAATGTGGGGTGCGGGAGCGAGAAGCTAAAGTCTCCAAAGCCCATCACCAAAATTCACCTCTTTTGTTCAAATTCACTTTTTGAAACACCTGGGGAGGGGCAAGCATCTGACTTAGGTGTCAGCCCCCACACTAACGTGGGCTTTGCGCTTCCCACAGAACCCCCCTCGGAAATAATCGCAGGGCTGGCGGGGTTCCCTGACACTTGCTGAGAGGTTCCGACTCCCCGCCCTCCTCCCTGCTCCTGGCAGCCTCGGCCTTGCGCCACGAGGAGACCTGGAAGAAACTGGAACTGTGAAGTCAACACAAGGGCTTCGACACCAAACAGTGCATCTGCTCGCGTTGTGTAAGGGCTGGGGAAAGAGCCACATGGTTCCAATTCAACTAGATTCACTCAGGGAGCCACCAGCTTCCAAGCTGGTCTTCCACCTCCGCCTCACAGATCATGTTCTCTCTGCACTCCCAGGACTTCCCGGGCTCCCATTGAGAGACAAGGGCTTCTCTGGGCTGTGGGGCCATGAAGGAACCAGTGGCGCCCCCCTCCGTTCTGGGCACGCTAATATTCTTTGCAGGAAAAGGATAAGCTGGAAAACTTGATTTTCTAGAATAGAAAGAGCACGGGGCTTAGCAAGTGGGCAAATCTGGGCTCTACCCCAGTTCTGCCGTTTTTATCAGTTGTCTGACCTTGGAAAGGTCATAACCCCTGAGCCTCAGTTTTCCCCTCTATAAAATGGAGCTAATAAAATGTTCTCTCTCAAGACTGTCAGCAGGGTGACCTGTCAGCCACTCATTCATCTATGCAGCAGACCCACCCCAGACACTGTTCCACACGGGGAGACAGCAACGGAGGGGACAGGTCAGACTCCTGTCACCTGGGTGTTTCAGGAAGGAGAACATGTGTCAAAGAACAGTAATACACAAGCCTAATTGAGGTGGTATTTTCATTCCATCTTCAAGAAGAGGGGAGTGAAGAGAATTTAAACTGCTCGTCCAAACGTACTCTGTGTAGACAGGATTCGTGTGGATCTGTCTGTCCCCAAAGCCCCTGTCTCTCCCTCTGCTTTCCAGTGAGCTGGAAAGAGTTATGGGAACACATTGTCCAAAAATGATAAACATGACCCCAACTGGCCCTCCCAAATAATTGACTCCCCGACACAGCCCTGTCATTTCTGAAACACAAAACAAAAATTAAAACAAGAAAAACAAAACAAAAGGAAAGCCTCTGGCTTCATTTAAAAAAAATGGGGGAACAATTTAATACCTGTGATGGGCGGTCAATAAAAATAATTTAAAAAGGAAAAAGGAAGACACTTCCCAGAAGGGAGGAGTGTGGCAGATGGGAGGGGCACAGTTAATGTATGGATGAAATGCTCACATCTGGGAAAAGTTGGGGAACTCCCCCCGGCCCCAGATGCAGAGAGAATCAGATATTTATGAATTTTCTTATCTATATTTTCACTCATTTATTTATAGACTCAAGTTCCATGCAGAGGTGAAACCTTAGGTGATCTGACAGCCAAGACCCCAGCTGCTGCCCCCACCACCACTTGAAAGGGCCCCAATCATGCATAACAGGGGACACTTGGGTCACGCTGCAGCCGGGACAGAAGTTAAAGGGTGGTGAGGGCTCCTCTCCTGGCTCTGTGCCCTGGACTCCTGGCTTACCCCTGTGGCCTGCCACTTAGCTGCAATCATGCCATGGGGAGGTGGAGATAATAACAGCAGGTTGTTTATAAAGCATTGTGGGTTGTTCATATGGGGACAGCAAAACAAAAACAAAGCAAAACAACACAACAGCATGCGTGACCCTGGAGGGAGTGAAGGGAAAGGCTCTGGCACCACGGCTGCAGGGCACGTGGGCAGCGAGACAAAGACGGACGCAGCTCCCCCAGCAGGAGGCTGCGGGCCGGATCCTGGAATTCTGGAAGCCAGGGATGTGGTGGGACGGAGCAGAGGTTCTGTGGACAGGTGAGGGCACGGTGAGCTGGGTGTGCCCAGCAGAGGGCACATGCCCAGCCGAGGCAGCCGTGCACTCCAGTCCTAGGCTGCCTGTGGGACCGAGGCCTGGGCCTAGTCTGGCCGGAGGGACAGCAGTGTTGAAACCTCTGATGAGGAGGAAAGATCTCTATCCTGGATCCGGAAAACTGGATTCAAATGCCGGCTCTGCCCCTACTGTCTGGGTGACTTTGAGTCGCTCACTTCTCTTGCCTGGACCGTAGCTGTCCCATTCTCAGATGAGAGAGCAAAACAGAGGAGCCCTTAGAGCCTCCAGCTGTCAGGGGTCACGGTTTTATGAGGGAAAAACAACCGAGGTTCTGTCACTGCGGAGTCCTTGGAAGGGGAGAGAGTAGACTTGATCCCAGGGACTGACAAGGACTTGGGAGAGCAGGACCTGATGGGCACTGAGGGGTGAAGCTGGACAGCGTTCTGGAGAGGTCAGGGAGTCCCAGCACAGTGCGGATGCACACACGGCGGGCCCTGCACTTCGGGTGCAGGGGTGTCCCCCGGACCAGCGACCCCGGCAGGTGTTCTGAGAGGTGCCGAGAAGTTGCTGGGCCTGTGGACAGCAACCTGAGGCCTGTGGTCTCCGCATGGGCAGCTTCATTCTGGGCTCCAAATTTTACATATGAATCCCTACACATTCACCCGGTAGGACATTCCTCGCATGGGCTCCTATCAGCGCACAGCCCCCAGGAACTCTGGGCTCCAGCCTGTGGACACCCACCACCTGCTCCGACCGCCAATCCACCCTGGATGGAAGGAGCGCATATGAGCACAGGAAGAAGCTGACCTTAAGTTAGTTCTCTCCAGCTGCCTCTCCCCGACGGGCTGGCATGGAGACTGTGGGAAGAGTTTGCGGTAGAGGAGGAAAATGAGAAAAAAAAGGGGGGGTGCCAGGGGGAGAAGGGAAGGAAAGAAGGAAAATGGAAGGAAGGAAGAGAGGGAGGGAGGGAGAGAAGGAAGGAGGAATGGAGGAGGGAAAGAAGGGAGGGAAGAAAGTTATTTGTCTACATACATGACCCACTGAATTTTATAATAAACTGCTCAATCTCTGCTTAGAGCCATAGGATAGATAGAGGCGGTGTGTCTGTGTGTGTGTGTGTGTGTGTGTGAGAGAGAGAGAGAGAGAGAGAGAGAGAGAGAGAGAGAGATACTAGAGAGAGAGAGAGAGAGAGAGAGAGAGAGATACTAGAGCCTGAATTCATGATTGTTGCTTTTCTCATTGAAAAGGCCTCTTAACTCCCCCACCACAATCACTATGCAACCCCGCATCTTTCCCCCTTCCCCTAACTGTGTGGAGCTGGGGTTTGGCCAGAATTCCACAACTGGACCTCTCCTTTGAAACGCAATCCTGTTTTCTTGGAGCCCTGCGTTTATTCCTAGGACTGCACGGGGACTGGGGACACCCGAGTCTCAGTCAGAACACAGCACCTGAATCGATGTGGAGTATGACGCTGCTCCCGAGGCAGCCCACTAGGTATCATGCTGCTCTCAGGGGAAGAGAAAGCAAATGAGGAGGGAAAGGAGGGGGAGAGAGGAGAGAGGGGAGGGAGGAGGGGGTGCAAGGAGAGAAAGCAAGAAAAAGCAGATGGGGAGGAGGAGGGGGAGGGGTGGTAGAGCTGGGTGTAGGGAGGGGCGGGGAGAAATAGCGCCTTTCTCTACCTGGGGAGAGCCTGGAGTAAAGTGGGATGTGTGTACCACAAGCTGAAATCTATAAAAACCGATGCTATTTACCTTGGTGCTTTGAGAATGCAGGAAACCACCCCATGGCTTTTTCCAGTTGTTGCTTATTTTTCTTTTCTTTCCTCCTCGTTTGTTTGTTTGAACGCATTTGCACATTTGCACAGTCCTGCCTGTCCTCCCACACCCCAGCCAGGCATTCAGGAGGGCCCTGCATCCCCCAGGCCTCAGTCCTGGGTGCTCTGCCTGCCCCAACCCGGTCCCAGCCCAGGCCAAGCCGGCAGAGGCCTCAGAGCTGTGTCCCCAGCACCTGACTGGCTCACTGTCCAAATGCTCGCAGGTGAGCAGCTGTGAAAAGTCCTCTTCTCTCCCACAGATGTTCCGGGCTCCGGTGGGCAGAGCGTGGCTTTTAGGGGCAGACAAAGCAGGGTTTGGCCTCTGACCACCTTGATGGCCTTGACTCCCTCACTGCCTCCACACCTCCCAGGACAGAGGTGATAATGAAATAAGATAATACAATCATAGGTGTCAGTCCCTTCCTCTTCCCTCTCGCCCCTCTCAGCTCTTGGGAACCACAGACTTTTAGAATGGGAAAGAACCACAGAGAACACCCAACCCATTATCATTTTGCAGATGGGGAAACTGAGGTCCAGAAAGAAGGGGTGACTGGTTTAAGTCACATAACCAGACAGAGACAGAACGCTTTGCCTAAGTTCGATGTCCCTCCACAAGTCAGAGGATCCAACAGGCACTTATCAGTTGACTTGTTTCCGAGGTTAAATTCTCCCAACTGTTTACTTGGGGCACAGGACCTGCCAATTAAGAACTCAAAGTCGTCAGTGCCGGCCTCAGTGCACATGCGGGCGGTGTGGTGTCTGGGTGACGATGGAGAGCATTGTGGCCAAGTTGATGGATTTGCATTTTCCATCCGCAATGTTTCTCTGAGTTCTGAGAATTAACTTATTTTTATAGTCTGGGGAGCCGGGAAGGACAAAGCCCTCTCAGGGTGAAATGCAACAATGAGTGATATTTAAGGAGCTCTTTGGCCTCCAAAGGATTGCAACAGACTTTGCACAAGAGGCGAAAGACAGTGGGTGCAGAGCACTGTGGGTGTTGCAACCACCTTCTGTGTCCTCTGCAGCAGCAGGGCCGTGGGAAAGGCCCCCGTCGCCCTCCCACCCCTATTTCTGCTCTTCACTCCCAGGTACACAGGGTAGGGCTGCATCGCCCTTCAGAGGGCTCACTCTGGGGGAGCCTACCGAGACCCCAACTCTCTCTTTCTCCCCCTGGATCTCATTAAACAAACATGAGTGATGCTGTGTGACTCTGGACCAGTCCTTCCCCTCTTGGGGCCCTGGAATTCTAGACGGTACAGAAGCGCGGACACCTCTACGTGCTAGACCATCTCTGAGGCTCCTTCCGCCCTCCTCTGAGGATTCTATGCAGGATTCTGGGCTGAAAAGCACCACTGTCACAGGGAGATAAATGTCCTTTATTAATGCACTAGCTTTGCACAGTGCCTAGCAATGTGCAAGAACACCTTCACCTACAGCACACTGTTTAACCCTCACGACCACCCTATGGGGTAGATGTTATCACCCGTTTACTCCAAAACAGAAAACTGTGACTTAGAAAAGCAAAGCGACTTATACGTGGACACACAGTCAGGAAGGGTAGATTCAGATCCAGTAAGAAGATCACCAGAAGGTGTCCAGGAAACACCTTCCCCTCTTAGCCCTAAACCAGGTTCAAGAACAGACGCCAGGTCAAAGGCACCGAGGGGGTGATGTTATGCAGCTCAGAGACAGGCTCCTAGACCACTGGGGGGATCTCAGGAGCCCGGCTTAGAGAAGACAGAGAGTTCAACCGTCACTGAAATACGCAGCGAACTGGGATGAGACAAATAACAGTCCTCCTCTCTCCCCCTATATTTCAGAGAGTTATGCTTCCTGTCTGTGCTACTCAGGAAGCAGGATATTCCAGCCCTTCAGAGCTGAAAGCCAGCGAACCCACCACCCTCTCTCTGTTCAAATGAGGATATTGAGGCCCAGAGAGAGAGAGCGATATCCCAAGGTCCCCCTGCAAGCCACTGGGACTGCATGCCAGCAAAGGAGGCCCTCTTTCCACCACCCAGCCTACAGACCTCCCCACCCCGGGACGCCAGACCCAGAGGCAGTGCTGCCCAGAGCCCACGAGATGTAGGAGGGAGATGCACAGAGATTTTTATGGCAATACACACGGCCACCCCATTCCAGAATGCCTCCATCTCCACTTGGCTACGCAATGGCAGGGTGGGCAGACCCGGGGTGCCTTACCTCTGCTCGGCAGAGCTGTAGGTCTCCCCTCTCTGGCAGCTGCTCAGGGTGACGGGGTCAAAGCCGTCGAAGGAGCGGAGGGCCACCCCCGAGATGGCGAGCAGGGGTGAGCTGAAGCTCACTCGCACCGCCTGGCTGTGGTAGAAGGGCTGGCTGAGGTCATGGACCACAGGGATAATCAGGGGATTGTTCCTGCAGCTCAGGACGTGGAGGCCTGTCAGGGGAGACAGAGGGCCGGGGGGCCAGGCTCATTACTCAAGGCCAGTCACGCCCTCCCCAACCGGCCCTTCCCCAAGCCCCCAGACCCTTTCATGTCCCTGCACAAAAGCACCATTGGGTGGCCGGTGGGGATTTTGAGTTTGATTGAAAGTTTCTTTGTCTGCCTTTTTCTCTTGGTTCCAAATCTTTCCAACCCCCTTGCCTCCCTGCCCCCTAAGCCTTCCCTTCACCTAGCGCCCACGGCCCTCTCCTCCCCCAAAGGGCCACCCCTCTGCCCAGCCTCCCCCACCTCCCACATTGCACTGGGGCCTGCTGGTTGGAACTGCCAGTGTTCAGGCTGCCTTCCCAGAAACAATTTCACCACTACAGGCCATTGCGGTGGTACTAGGTGAGGGCCTCTGTGAGAACCCTGAGCAGGAAGTGGCCTTCCAGAGGGCCACAGAGCAGCCAGCGACATACAGTCCAAGTAGCATGCAAGCTTGCCGCACTCTAGAGCCCTCAAAAGAACCAGGAGCAGGTCCCCAGGTTCAGGAGGGCAGGCAGAGGGGCAGGCAGAGGTGTGCATACAGAAGAGGGGAGTGATGGGTGGGATGCAGTGGGTGAAACGAAGTGGCTTTGGCGTTGGTGGAACTTGGTTCAAGTCTTGCTTTAGCCACTTCCTTATTATGTGACTCCAATAAACCCCAACACTCAGTTTCAGTATCTAGAAAATGGAATGATCCCAACCACGCCGGGCAGGCCTGCTAGGTGGGGGCATGAAGCCTCTCTCCCTTTGGTGGTCCATTCTCTTAGAGCTGGGAAGCATATGAAGGGGAAGTCAAGGTGCTGAGGATGGAGGACGGGCTGGCGGGAGGGACAGTGGCACGTGGAAGTCCCCGGCATCAGGTAGCAGGACGTAAGAGCTCCCTGGGAACCAGACCCGCCCCGCTCCGCTGAAACCCTCCGCTCGGAGCCCGGCCGTGGTGCGCTCTGCCAGGACAGCTATGAAAATATTTACTTCCCACTTAGGGAAATTTACCAGGAATCCAGATAAGTCCAGAGGGGTTTTCTTTCTATTCCTTATTAGGATGTTCCCCCTTGCCTTTGAAACTAACTAAATAAGTAAACATCAACACAAAACTGAAAAGCCCTCGCTGCTCCCTGGGCTGCTGCTTGACCCTGGAATGACCTGTTGCCGGTTTGCAATCTCGGGGTCTTTGAAATGAGCTCCCTCTGGAGTGTGTGGGCATGGCTTTGATGCCTGGACTGTGGTGCTGGCCCGGGATTCCACCCACCGGGGATGGCTGTGTTGGAAACGTGGGAGCAGGTAACAGCACTTCCTGGGGGCAGGTGTCGTGCTAGGCACGGCCCTACAGTCTCAAGCCTCGCTTATTCCCCACATCGCTCTGACTGTGCAATGGCATCATTGCCCCAGAGCTCTTAATGAGGCACGGAGAGGTGGAGAAAACGGCTCCCATTTTCCAGGCGCGTGAGTGGCGGGGATGGATTCTAACCTGGCCCATCAGCTCTATGCCCATGGCTCCTGTGGGTATGCTGAGGCAGGTGGCACAAGTGCCAACTGCAGCCCGTGTTCTGGGACAGCTGACTCCTCCCCTGCCTTCCCAGACCTGCATCGGACGTTCCTGATCTTACTCCCATGGGAAAGTCTGGAGCTCACACTGGACACACGGCTGGCACTTTGGGGTCATTCCCAGCATCTCTGACTACAGGGTAAAGAGCCGCTGCTCTGCGGCCTGGGCTCCCTGGGCCTCAGGTGCTGACGCGGACAGTGGGAAAGGGCCTTACGCAGGTTCCTTCCCTGGGCCTTTGGAGGACCATCGGGGATGCCGAGTTACAGGTGGCTGGCAGAAGGCAGCCACTGAAGGGAGGACTTCCACACTGATCCCTCACCCCTGAACCTGTCAGTCAGGCTTCTCTACACCCACAAGCACATCCTGACTTGACGGCAATGAGAATGCCAGTGAGAGAACGAGGAAGAGGAGAGGGGAAGGAAGAGGCCTTCTCAGCCAACCCTCAGGACCACGCTGGGCAAAGGTGGAACCAGGCACCCAGAGCCAGCCAGGCCCGAGGGGACATGCTCACCTAGATCGTGGCTCTGCTCTTTGGTGTCAAGCAGCTGGACGCTGATGGTTTCCTGCTTTTGGTCCCCATAGTAGGTCCCATCGGTCACCAGGTGGACAATAACAGCTGCAGCAACCATTGGCTGAGAAAAGTATGCCTGAAACACACATGACATCAGAGAGTCAGGCATGCCCCTCCCCCTGGTGGGGAAGCAGCCACAGGATGGGGGCGAGGGGGTCTCAGAGAACCTCCTGTTTCAGGAACTGGATTACTCCTTGTGGCTGTGTAACGGGAACAGAGGGGCAGTGGAGCCTCCCAGTGAACAGCACAGGCTCTGAGATCAGAAACTCTGCTCCGATCTCGGCTCTGCTCCCTCCGAGATGCGCCTGTCCATCAGTGCTGGCTGTGCCGCTCTAGGTCTGAGGTCCCTCACCTCAAGTGGTGGATAAAGTGAACACCCGTATCACAGGGTGGCTGTTAGGCTCAATAAGGTGATGGGAGAAAAGTGTTTGGAACATACTAAAACCACAAAAAATGGTATTGTTACTGTTTGTCATTCCTCCATGCTAACCTCTGTACTAGGCACCACTGAGGAGACAAAGCTAAATAAGACATGGCCCATGCACTTCTGCAGACTATGAGGTTCAATATAGGTCAATGACATGCAAATCAAAATTCAGTGCAATCCACAGTCCTTAGGGGGATGGCACCATGTGACAAGTGCCATCAACAGCTGACCAACCAACCATGTACAGGACTAGAGGAGAGAGAACAGCCACTTTTCTCTTGGGGGGATCAGTACAGACTTCAGGGAAGAGAAGACAATTTTTAAAAGTCTTGAACAATGAATAGGAGGTTTCAGGCAGACAAAAGTATCCAAATTCTGCCAAGACAAGAATGACTGGGGGGTATTTCACAAGCAATTAAGGGATTCCATTTCCAGGAGCATCTCACTGATCAGTGTTTTGTCCCCTGTCCTTACAATGAGCATCCTCAATGGATAGACAAACCATCCTAAGAAAGGGTTGTGGGAGGCAGAGCTTCCTGGGGCCGCTGGAGCATCCAGGGCTCTTCAAGCACTGGCTTACCCGGAGCCAGAACGTGGTCTGGGTCAGCTGGGAGTAGGGGTAGCTGATGGTGCAAGGATACCAGGCGTGTTGGGAGATGCCTTCACTGAGATCAATCACCTTGGTCCGACACACCTGGGAAAAGAGAAAGAAACACAAGTGTTGTAGAGAGTGGCAGAGAATGACTTAAATTCAAATCGATAAACCTTTGCTATCTACATATTTTGTCCTTGGCATTTGCAGGAAGAATCAGGGATGAAGAGACAAGCAAGAGTCTACCCCGGGAGCCCACATTCTCACACAGAGGAGGAAACCCTCAATGCCATTGATGGTAGGGTTGACAGAGTAATTCTTATGGGAGCACACATCCTAGAGGAGTTGATATTTGAGTTGGGTATGAACAGGATAGAGATAAGGGGAAGGGCATGGCAGGTAGAGGGAACAGACGCAGGGGCTCGGGCTCAGAGGACAGCAGACATCCAGAAGGGTTAAGCTGTGGTAAGCTGCCTGGTATCTGCGCTGGGGGAAAGTGGCAGAAAAGACAGGCTGCAGGGCTGGATCTCGTAAACTTTGAACACCAAGCAGAGCACACTTCAGAATAAATCTGTAAACTGTGCTCAGGGCTACATACAACAGAGCAAGATTGCGATAGTATGAACATTTGCTTTCCCCAAAGAAAATCAGCTCCATATATCCACACATACACACGCATTCATTCTCAATGACAGATATACCAAATTGGTGTTAAAAGAAACACAAAGGTGTAGACCAGCAGAATTCTTCAAACTTAGGGGCTTTGTGTGTATCCACATGTCACTTCATTCATTGGTTCATTCATACATTCAGATATTTATTGAGTCACTGCTCTTTACCAAGCACTGTGAGACAACAAGTGGACAAGACAGATGGTGAGGAGCTCAAGAGCGGCAATGTGTGCAGATGTTCATCAGGTAATCGCATAGACACACATAACTGTAAACTGCAGAGCAGGGGAGGGCTATGATGGAGAAGGACAGAAAGATCTGAGCTGTTCTTGTGATTGGTCAGAACATGAGCAGATCATCCCAAATTAGTGCTTTTCCTCTGAGCTTTAAAGTGGCTACTCTCTCCAAACCTTCCTAGGAATTTAGGTTTGTCATTCCACATCTGCAGATATCAGTCTGCTCACCTAAGAAGTAAGGCTGACCTGGAGAGGATCAAGATATTCAAGGATGAAGGATATCCATTCCATCAATATCTACAGTAGCAACAGATTGGAAATAGTTTGTTTGTTCATCTGTTAGGGAAGGGATGCATAAAATGATATATTTATGTGATGGGATTCTATGAGCAAAAGTATATTAAGAGGACTGAATTATATTCATATACAGGGATGATGCTAACAATATTTCACACCTGCTTAGTATGGGTCCTGGCCAAGGAAAATGGAAGCCCTACTTGTGAGTTCATAGACATCAACTTGGAAAGATTGCAAAAACATAACACTGAGTAGATTAAAAAGAACAAGACCTAAGTGGTCAGTACATTTTGATACCATTTATAAAAATCACACAAAACAAGATTATACCCAGGGATTCATATAGATGAGAACAGAAGAATTAAAAAATGGAGTGGAGAAGTTCTACACCAAATTCACTAATCAAAGGCAAGATAAAAATACTTGGCTGCACTGTAATCTATAATTGCAAACATTAATGCTTTTTTAAAAAAATAACCTTTTTTGCCCTAGCTGGTTTGGCTCAGTGGATAGAGCGTCAGCCTGCGTACTGAAGGATCCCAGGTTCGATTCCAGTCAAGGGCACATGTCCAGGTTGCAGGCTCGATCCCCAGTAGGAGGTGTGCAGGAAGCAGCCTATCAGTGATTCTCTCTCATCATTGATGTTTCTCTCTCTCCCTCTCCCTTCCTCTCTGAAACTAATTAAAAAAGGTTATATCTTTAAAAAAATATAACCTTTTTGTTTTGGAGTAAGAAAAGTTGCAAAGATAATACCGGGAGTTCACTAGATCCTTCATCTAATTTCTCTTAACGTTAACATCTTCATCAATTCATCCTTGAGACCTCAGAGAAAGGAAGAAAGTTGCTTAACCAACTTTGGAGAATCACATTGTCACTCAAGAGCTTTGCAATGGTGAGCTGGCTATTGGATTAGGGAGACTTGGTTCTGGTCCAGGCTCCCCAACATTTGATGTATATTTGTGGACTAGGACTAGTTATCTCACCCCTTTGAACCTGGGGTTTATCTTTCACAGTTGAATATTGTATGGCGTCATAGGTCTTCAAGGTATCACCTATGAATTCCTAGGGTTCCCTGGAGGTGTCAGCCTGGGGTTCAGGATTGGGGGGTGCTACTTAGTTTCTGCTCCACCATTTCAACCAGGCCATCACCTGAGCATCATCTGTTTTAGATATCAAGCCGCCTTGAAAGTTTCATTTACAAAAAGAGCTTTAATGCTTTAAAAATATTGAAAATTATTGAAACATGTTTGTCGCCAAAGTTTCCCTCACGGCTCCCGAGGCATCAGTGGGTCCTGGAAATGCAGTATTGGTTTCCTGACTGTCACAGGTAACTTCTTATGGAGAGTCAAGTCCCAGGGATTAAGTGATGGCTTCTAGGAGCTTCAAGCATTCAGATCTCTAGGAGCCTAACACCGAAGGGACCACGGTTAAAAAACACAGTCACATTCATGGGATGGAAGACATTTTCAAGTTTATTTATTTTTCTCAAAAAACAACTGGGACCAAACTTAGGCAGGCCTGCCAGTGGATTGTGTTACATTTTACAACAGTGTGAGACTTTGCATAAACTATCTATGGCATTCGGAGTCCAGGCCAGCAATTCGACATGTATCATTTTGGAATTCTTTCCTCTTGTGGTCTTAGCTGCCTGTCCCCCAGCAGAGCGTGGTGGGGCACATCTCCGGAGGGCTGGGGGGTGTGTGTGTGTGTGTGTGTGTGTGTGTGTGTGTGTGTGTGTGTGTGTGTGTTGGGAGGCGTGGGGGGGGTTATCTCCACATCTAAAGCATTCCCAGTCAGAGAAGTCTTGCTTCAATACAATTTCCTCTTATCTTGGCAGCCCTATCAGTGCTAGACAGGGCTTTAGAAGAAGGTGCTGCTGTTATTTTCTTCTCCTGTTTTCCTATTCAGGGTTGGGTTTGTTTCAGGCTGGCTGGGATCCTGACCAGGGTCAGTCAAGGCAGATCAGAGAGGAATGAATAAATCCTCTAAGCCCCAGTTGATCTTAAAGCCATCTAGGTTCCTGGGAGGTGGGGGAGGTTGCCGCAGGGGAGCAGACACTCGCAGCTCCTGCTCTGACGGACCTGGCGTGCCTCTGCTCACTCAGCTGCCCTTTATGGAGGTGCGTGGCACACTGGACTCCAAAGCCCGAAGAGGAAGAGAGCCTTGCCCGTGCCCATGGCCACACTTGTATCCTAGGTGGTCACTAAGGATACAGGTGTGATCTCAAGGTAACGAATTCTATGGGGATGCTCTGTTTTCCTCCACCCCCTTTTTTGCACCTTCCCCTCCAAAAGCAAATCCAATGCCATAAAGCATGACTGAGCCATGTAGATTTTACTGAACATTCTGCGAGGGAACAAGCAGGAGAGGCACACACTCCTGTGAACCCAAGTTCTCCCTCCAACACCTCACGTTCCTCTTCACCCGTCATCTCCCTTTGTCCAGTTTCGTCAGCGTCACTGGTTCCAGTGACCTTCCCAATCTCTCCCGACCTTCTCCCCCTTCCAAAGTGCATCTGTGTGGAAACTGGTGCAGAACCGTCCGCTTTCCCTTAGGTTCTCTACTCTCACACGTGCAAATCTTTCTGAGGACGCCAAGGGTTCCACCCCACTCCCCAGGCCCAGAGATGTCAGGGGGTTGAACAGAGTAACTTTTTTAACCTCTGTGTCCTGCCGGTATGAACAAGATCTGATCCCTCCCTTCACATCGCTCACTATCTCAGGGCACACAGAAATATCTGCAGCCTCCAGGCTTCAGGTTCCCCTAAAACAGGGGTGGGGAACGTCTGGCCCAGGCGCTGTATAAGGCCGGCAAAATCACTTGGCCTGGCCCTGCCAAGGCACTAGAGGTGAGATAATTAAATCTTTGATCAAATATAGCAGCTAATTTTTAAGTTGATAATTTTGTATGGCCCACAAATGATGGTATAAATAGTCAAATGGCCCTTGGCAGAAAAAAGGTTCCCCACCCCTGCCCTAGAGAGATAAAGAGGGGAGTCTCCTATCACTGAAACCCACATGTGTGCACTGCCCACATTCATGGTTATTGTAGTAGCATCCACAACAGTCAAGATGTGGAAACAGCCTACCTGTGCATCAACAGATAAGTTGATAAGCAAAATGTGGTATACACATTCAATGGAATAGTATTCAGCCTCAAAATAGAAGGAAATCCTGCCATTTGAGGCAATATGAATTAACCTTGAGGACATTATGCTACATGAAATAAGGCAATCACCAAAGGGCAAATGCTACATGATTTCCCTTCTACGAGGTATCTAAAACAGTCAAAGTCACAGAATCAAAGAGTGGAATGGTGGTGGCTAGTGGCTGGGGGAGGGGAAAGGGAGTGACTGATCCTGGGCATGAAGTTTCAGTTAAGCAAGATGTTCTACGGGTCGGCTGTGCAACGCTGTGTCTACAGTCAGCAACACTGTACGGCACATGTCACAGTTGGATTACAGTTGTTTAGAGCCCAGTCTTATCCCTTTAAACTCTGAAGACTTCTAAGGTAAGAACCGGGCTTGAGTTACCTTCCAAGAAATCTTAGCAGATTGCCCACCACACGGGATGCCACAGTTGCCCAGGGAACAAGAGTAACAACATAGTGACAATAGCAGTGCCGCAGCAGCCTAACTGCATGCCTGTTCTATGCCGGGCACTGTTGTAAGGACTCCATATGCACTCAAGCATGCAGTCCTCAGCACAACACTGTGAGGTATGGCACTATTGTGATACCCGTCTTATGGACAAGGACACTGAGGCCTGGCAATATGCCTAAGGTCACACAATTGATTGGTAGAACCAGGACTCAAATCCAGGTGTCAGCTCAGCCCACACTCTTCACTGAAGTGGCCAGCTTGCAAAAGGCCTGCCTCCATAGATCTCAGGGCTGTTAT